ATGACTATGTCGGTAGGCGCAGGTTGGTAATTCTTTCACTGAAGCCTAATCAATTCATTTGTGCACACTAAGTTTATCTGATTGTAAAATATCTGAATTCATATCGCTAAACTCTCAGTGGCATCTTCCAATATTATCAAGTAAAAATACTTGCTAAGCCCATTGACTGGTAGATAAAACCCCTATGAAGCTTAACATCTGAGCAACACACGATCATGTGACTCTTATTACAGACTACGCATGATGTGAATAACACGAAACAATGAATCACCCAAAGCATTGAAATTCATTAAAATGAAGGTTTTTTGCATTTTCCAATGAGTGAAAAACGAAACGATATGCCTGTTTTTACTGACTTTTCGCCATTCAGTGCTAATAGCTTTATCAGGGTATTATTAAACGAGAAATTTACAAAATCTCAGCTTGTATATAACAACTTAATCATCGTTCCTCAGTATGGGATCATTTTTGCTTTGTTAAGTTGGCCAATTGGTAAAGACAACAAAACCAGGTGTAGAATGTTGGATTTGTTAAGTGTGTAAAATTATAAAAGTGGCGTGTGTTTACATAGTGAAATTGCTTATCACATTCCTGTTGATTTTGTCACGTCATGAGGGAGGGAGGTGTTGTAACCAGGTCAAATTCTGTTTTAGTCTAACATTCCTATTCTGACAATTTGGAATCCACTTGATATGAAGTACTACTGATATTAGACGTTCTTTGTGATTTCTGAAATTTTTCTGGATTATTTCAATATTGTCAAAGCACTGGAAGTTCATTGGAAAGTGTAAGTGATTTACCATTTGGACTCAAAACTTTTACATCTCAGTATATTACAGCATATCTAACTACGATATTATTTGTTCTATTAGTAGCTACTATAATTCCCTATTAAGACCTCTACAAAAATCAATTCTTGAAAATATGAGATACCTAAACACATGCACTTCATCACACAACTGAATTAATTATACTGCTATTAAGAGTACAATGTTACTCTAGAATTCTTCATAGAATAGTCAGGATACATTTGATTCTAAACATAATTTTGAAAATGACCAGGTAGTTAGTACTGTTTATTATACAGTTTCATTGGTCATACTATTCATACAATGTTATAAACTTCTAATTTTTAACTCACTAACTTTTACTAGATTACTTACGCTAGCCAAAAAACCGATGATCAATCAATCGGATGTGTAGACGATGAACGAGCTGCGAACTAACACGAGGAGACAAGAGAGTGTCTTGAGATTGAAAGCTATTCCATTCAACCGAAGAAGACAAAATATGAGTACAGCACTGTCGTGATATATATATTTATCCTGTCGATGGAGCAAGTGAAATGAAGAGCATATTAAGTGAGTAAAGGAAGGCAATAGAATATAACGTCATAGATAATGGTAAAAATGACTGATGGCAGTAGACGAAAACAGGAATGAAAAATTGGTTATTTAAAGTTGTACAATTAGACTGAACTACAAAACAAAAAAAGCTTTGCAGCCCTCTGAGATACAACAGATGGTATTACATTATAGTTTTCTTGGGTTCCTAGTGGAACATAGGACTTCAACTGCACGTCTCCACTTGTTTCTATCTTCTGCTGTACTTTTCACCTGCATCCATGTTATTCCAAACTGTTTCAACTCTTCTCCACACGATCTCCTCCATGTCACCCTTGGACGTCCCACTCGCCGCTTCCCTTTCGGGTTCCACTCGAGCAATGGCCTGACGCGCGATGTCACCCAGCGGCCTCCTCAGCGAGTTTCCAATCCATCTCCACTTTCTCCTGCATATTTGTTGAGCGATTGGTTCTTGCTTTGTTTGTTCCCATAGTTTCTTGTTGGTGATTCTTTCCAGCCATCCAATCTTTAGTAAAGAACGAAGACAGCTGTTGATAAAGGTTTGCAACCTGTTGGAAATATTCTTTGTGACCCGCCAAGTTTCTGAACCGTATAGAAGAACTGACTTGACGTTTGTATTGAAAATCCGAATTTTTTTGTTGATGCTGAGTGACGAAGATTGGTTTCAGGTTGATGAATGTGTTTCTCGCCTTCCCGATTCTCGATTTGACATCCTCGTCCGTTCCTCCTGTAGTTGAGACAATGCTCCCTGGATAAGTGAATGAAGTAACCTCTTTCAAATCCCTCCCGTTAACGGTGATTGCCTCTGGATGTTGCTGCTGCTGTTGTTGTTGTTGGTTGGTTATTTTCATAACCTCCGTCTTGTCTATGTTCACCTGGAGTCCTGTCTTCTCTGGCTGCTTCTTCGACCAGTTTGTCGGTTTTCGCTTGTAAGTCTTCGATTTTGTGTGACATCAAACACAAATCATCCGCGAAATCCAGGTCTTCTAGGTTCCTCATGTAGCTCCATGATATCCCTGTCTTCTCGTTTCACACTGTCTGACGCATAATCCAGTCCACCACAATTAGGAATATCATTGGTGATAATAAGCACCCTTGTCTGACTCCTGTGTTTACTTCAAACGCCTCGCTGAGTTTTCCATTGTGGATCACTTGACATGTGCCGTTGTCCTACAGCTGTTGAATAAGGTTGATGAATATTTGGGGTACGCCATAGTGCTTGAGTAGTTTCCAAATTACTTCGCGGTCAACGCTGTCGAAGGCCTTCTCAAAGTCTATGAAGTTGAGGTAGAGATTTGATTGCCATTCCATGCTTTGTTTGAAGATGATGAGTAGAGTTGCAATTCGGTCGGAACATGATTTACCTTTCCTGAATCCAGCTTGTTCTGGTCGGAGTTCTGCATCCAATGCGTCCTTTATTCTCTCCAGGATGATGCGACTCAGAATTTTACTTGGTGTCGACAGGAGCATGATTCCTCGCCAGTTCTTGCAGAGTCCTAAGTCGCCCTTCTTTGGTAGTTTCCCGAGGTAACCTTTTCTCCAGTCAGTAGGCATCTTTCCCTCATTCCAGACTTTTTGCAATAATGGAATCAGCATATCTGCTGTCGTCTCTGGGTCCGCTTTCAGTGCTTCAGGGGGTATTCCATCTGGTCCAGCTGCTTTTCCAGCTTTCAGAAGCTTGATTGCATTCAAGACTTCACCTTTCGTTTGAGGATTGGTGTCAACTTGCAACTGTGTACGCGCCGTTGTTGGTATTTCTGGACAAGTTGCAGGTGGTGGTCGGTTCAAGAGTCCTTTGAAGTGATCCACCCATTGTTTAATCTGTCTTTCTTCCTTGGTAATTGGGTTCCCTTGGCTGTCTGATAGGTTTCGATTGTGTTGATCTCTTCCCGGATAGAGACTTGGTTATCTGATATAATGTCCTCAGGTCCCTTTTGCCTGCTGCCTTCTCAGCTTCAGTGGCCAGATTGTCGTAGAATTGTCTTTTGTCCTTCCTAGCACTCTTCTTCACTTCTTTGTCCAGTGCGGTGTAAGTTGAACTCAGCGTCTCCTTCTCTTGTCCGTCTTTGCATTGAACCATTTTCTCTTTCAACATTCTCCTCTCCTCTATTAGCTTCCAAGTGTCAGTTGTGAGCCATTCCTTGTCTTGTCTCTCCTTTCTTTCTAAAACCGTTGAACACGTTTCGTTGAAAATCACCTTCAGAGAGTTCCAATGGTCTTCCACGGATGATTCCTCAGTGATGCCATGTAGTGTTTCCTGCTTTGCTCTGACGGTTGCAATAGATACAACAGAATTAATAGTATTTTAGGTAACATTTGTAAAATGAGGTGAACAAATTTATATTCATGAACAAACTTAGATCCTAAATCAATTAGCACTTGAGCACTTGGTTAATACTATACATTACAAAAAGCATAGCAAGTTATCAAATGAACATAAAATGTTTTCTGAGGTCTCATACATATATTTTAACTAGCACAAAACCTAGGTCTTTCAACAATTCAACACTTTAAAACATTTAGAGTAACAGGAATGTAGTAAAGACTTATCTTTGTCAACGTGAATCACATCACATCATTCTAGAGTAAGTTCTGAAATGATTAACAGTACAGGGCACTGACGACAAGCAGTTGGCAATTATGTGATTACTCAAATAAATATAAAAAAAGTTACTAAGGTTATGAATTGTAATCTTAAACAGACAAGAATACAGAGTTATTATTCAGCAAGACAGTCTTTTTTATCACCAGTGCAACAGTGGTTATGAAGCCAAAGACACTCATATCAGTGTCAATAAACAATGGGTATTTTATACTAACATACAAACTGTTGCAATTCAAGAGTACCAAATTGTTTCTGGTTATACTGAGGACAGAATTTACAAAAAATGATATCAGCCTAACAGGATATAACATGAAATATTGATTGAAATATCCTATCTCCACTTATGTTATCCTTCCAGAAATATAACTGATTCCAAGACCATGATAAACCATAACAATTCAACTGAACAATCATGTGAACATATATGATAACGCGAGGAGCAGACTAAATCTATGTGACCCAAGAATACAACCTCGGCTGATACCGCTAGACCAAGGCGGGGAGAGACTGTGTGTTAAGAAGAATGAATTTTACAGAAAAATTCTGTACACTACACTGTGACAGAGCAACACAGCAATAACAAATTGAGAACCCAGTTAACTTATCCATTTCATTTTTGGAGAGAAAATCACTAACTTGAATAAACCATGAAGGCTAAAAAGTTTTTCACTTCATTATCATTACTGTTATCATCGTTATTACTAATAATTTTCAGTACGACAAAGTATCTACGAATAAACAAAACATTTAACATAACACAAACATGACGACAAAGCATCCCACATATAACCGATTATAAACTTAGATCTATGAATATTCAATAAGGATACTAATATTAATCTGTGAAATGTAATGTAAGTTACTTGGACGTATATAAATATAAAAAATAACAACAAAAACAACTACAGATTATGTCTACAGCATTCTATATACTTTCAATTATCTGTAATATGAGTGTTCATTAAATCTTATAATAAAATATTTCATAAAACATAAACAAGCATAGTTTAAATTAAGCTCGATGAACTCACTCATGCTTTTTGTTATGAAAATCAGGAGAATCCAACTTTTCATTCCAAGCCAATTCAAATATTTGTGAGAAATGATCATGAAATGGTCCCACCTTTGAAATATAAATGAATTATAAATGGTATGAATAGAAAATACAGTTTAACCTCGGAGTAACATGATCACATGCAGCCATCTAAGCACAAGAACTATATATACATATATATGTGCCGCACAAAATCTCATAGTCTTTACGAGGGTTAGGATACTGCCCGGACACCCAGACCGAAGTAGGTAGGGACGGGGGCGAATTCCCGAGTCTTAGACTTGAAACCTGATCCACAAGCCTTTGGGTCAGCGTCAGAAACTACGTTCCCGTGGTTTCCGGTGACTAAATCAGATTCACACGCCATTTGAATTCTGGAGCCCATGCGCACCGTAGTTTTGGGATCATAGTTTTCTGCTCCCCTAGGTAGACCTCCATATCCATCAGCCCGACTGTGAGCTCCAGATTTTCACATTCGGACTTTGACTATCGTGAGGAACAGCCCCGCCATATGAAGGCAGTGAACAGGACTTACCTGGTAGAGGTTATGAAGGTGAGGCCATATGACAGCATTTTCAGAGAAAGACCGAAACCTACCCACCCCCAGCTGTACCAGGTCGACGGATTCCCTCCAATCGTCTAATAGTTAGCTTAATATACTGTTGCATAGCTAAATAGGAAATGTCATTTTCGCGTCCACATTCAAAATGAAGATGCACGAAAAGTAAATTGCCCGCAATTATTATTTTCAAGCGTAAGATATGATAAATGAAGAAATGATTTGATCACACAGTGATAAAATGAAGCCACGAAGACGTTAAAGACAAAGGGAAAAGAGCAGAACAACAAATATTGTATAAAGGTTACCTCACAAAATATCATCAAAACGCTTCTCTCTAACTTTGTAGTTCTTCTAGATGAGGAAAGACATGAAGAAACTATGTCATCATCACTTATAATATCTATCCTCTATCGGAGAGTGATGAGAATTTAAGCCATTGACTTCCACAGGGCCATACCCAAGACAAATTTCCCTTATTCCATGGCACCACTTAATAGGCTGGGCTGCTGCCATTAGTACTACTACTGCTACGAGTACACATTTTTGTTACTGCACTTTGCTCCTGGTTTTGGTGAACACATGATATATGCAACCCAGTATCATATGTTGCCAACATGTATACGTATCACTCTGAAATCAGCTAGCTATAGACAGTATTTCTTCCTATTACTAACCCTAGAAACTATTCTTGCAAAATACGTTCGACATAAAATTCGAAAAGCCACTCAGATACTTAGATGATTTCTGGAAGGCTTATTTGTTTGACTATGATTCGATATAAGCAGCAACAAAGTTGAATACTAATTACAAGCATTGCATAAACACTAATATAATTATAGCAGCACTATTGCGTTTCCATCATTAATATCCTGTAACATCCCAGTCTTTAAGTATGTTGTAATATATATATATATATATATATATATATATTTCGACATGCAAAAAAAACTGAAGGTTGCAGGCACTAATAGGCTGAAACACGAACAGCTGGAGAATCAGGAAATTAGTAACTTTCAATTGCTGGTGTGTTTTCCCCTATTTCCAACTAGCACCTATCGTGAAAAGCAAAATGAAAGCAATAAATACCCTGATTTACATTTTGTATATCTATTATAAATTCAAGAAAACACGGGCAATTCACCACTGATTGCCATAAATTTCACTTTTAGCAATACTCAGAAAGAAAACATATTCACGCAATCAGTAAACACCACTATGCATCACTTCAAGAATGGTGGTATATCATAGAAGGGATAAATTTATGATTTCATTCCATCTTCAATGTTTTCCACCTAATGAAACACGCCTCAACTGTGGTGTGAACAATGTGATATCTGCTAACAGGGGAAAATGCAATTATTCGTGGACTCGAAATACGGACAAATTAACCTAATTTTTTTTGCTTAGCTATCTACTTAGAGATAAACAGGTCCTATGAAAGGAGTTGTAATGCAGACGTGTTTATTAAATAAAACGTGCCAAGTTAGAAGTGAACAGTTATTCATATGCATAAATGTTAGTTAGACAACAAAGTTAACAAATCAAATGTCATTTTAAATCGACCGCTTTCTAGAGGGAAGGGAAAAGTTACTAAATAAATGCTCACACTCTAATTTGTAATTAGAAGAATTGTGATTTCAAACTATCAAATATCATATTTCTATTTCTACTTCGGTGACAAAGGAACGAACCTCTTCAAGCTCACAACAGGAAAATTCAGTGCGATGATTTCATTTGTATACATGCATATTAATCATGTACTAAGAAAGATTTGTGCAAAAGTGACGACATTCACATCACTGCAATTTAACCAAGGACATGTACTATTTTTTTTATTCCTTCACGTTCCCAGTGGAACATAGGGCTTCAAGCCATAGGCTTGGAGATTCTGTAGCAGTGTTTATTTTTACAGGATGGGGTTGCTAGCCTCATGCCCAACCTTTCCTCTTCATCAGCTTTATTACTGGCTTAGCGAGGTAAAGGAGTGCGTCGGCCGGGGATCGAACCCCGGACCATGTGCATGGTCGGCGAGCGTCCTAACCGCTATGCCACCGACGCACATGTACTATAATATGGTTGAATCCAAAAGCTTTAAAATCCCTAACATGATGTAAGTCGCTTGTATATAGTATCAATTCACCTTGGTTTGAAACTCTAAAGATGCTTTAATCTACCTACCGGTAAATAGTACTTATAAGAATGCATAGACATTCGTAATCTGTAGGATGATATTTCCAGATACAGGCTCAAAACAGTTGCCACTGCTTCGGGTTTTACATTCAATTCTAGGCACCACTTTAATATTTTCTGAGTCATTATTTCATTGCACATGAACAAAACAGCAGAAAAGTAAACTACTATAAGTGCTAATTTTGCTTTTGCTCATGTCCACCTTTCATGACACGATAGGATGTAGTATAGTATATGGAAAGTAAAGACGTATACTGGATAAGTAGAATAAACACTATTGCACTATCAACAATATATTTCATTCATAAGCTACCTAAAGTCAAACATGTTATTGTGAAGACTGGTCAGATTTTTCAAAAGTCAACAGATAAATAAAATCGAAAAAAAATTGGAAACGCCTTAGCAAACTGGTAGAGAAAACAAAAAAGTAACAATAAAAGAGGATACCGTGTACAAATTTTAAAGCTCCGCCTTAATTAGTTAAACAGAGTATATAGATGGAATGGACAAAAGAGAACGGTCATCTCTAGTGAATAGTGAAATGTAGGACAATAAAGATAAAGGAAAATATTTGAACTAAGGCGTATTTAATTTGTGCAGGAATAAGAAAAACGAACTGTGTGTTTCACATAAATTATACACAAATTGACTTATGCATTGTTTTCCCCGTCTATCTTTGAGTCAAGGTAAAAATAATTAACAGTGAAAAATTCGCCTATGGAACACAATAATTGCCTAGTTGGAGGGAGATTGCTGAGTTTTACTTCACAATTGATAATCTGATTCTTCTTATCCGGTTAACATAAAAAGTTTTTTAAAACAAACATCTTACACTTTGAAGTAAAAAGTTAGCCTAGATATGCACTTTTAAGTGTACACTTTCCATCTTGAAAAAGGTAGATAGATACCTTGTTAAAATTCAGAGTATGCATGCATACTTATAATCATTATTGTTCCCATGGGTTCCTAGTGGAACATAGGGCTTCAACTGCACGTCTCCACTTGCTTCTATCTTCTGCTGTACTTTTCACCTGCATCCATGTGAGTCCATACTGTTTCAACTCTTCTTCACACGATCTCCTCCATGTCACCCTTGGACGTCCCACTCGCCGCTTACCTTTCGAGTTCCACTCGAGCACTGGCCTGACGCGTGATGTCACCCAGTGGCCTCCTCAGCGAGTGTCCAATCCATCTCCACTTTCTCCTGCATATTTGTCAAGCGATTGGTTCTTGCTTTGTTTCTTCCCATAGTTTCTTGTTGGTGATTCTTTCCGGCCATACTGAACCTCACCTAATCTACCTTATATCATAACTTCTTAAGTAAAGTTTATTTGATTATGTAGTTGTTAAAACTGCACAAAAATACGATACACATAAAACAAATCAGTCTTGTGTGATACATGTGGATGTTGACTACAGTCGCTATGAGAAAATGTTAAAAACAAAAATATATCACCTATGATTGACAGTGAAACTCAACAAGAAACAAAAATATCCAGATGTTCATCATCACTGTAAACAGTGAGTCTTTCCGTGTTAACTGACTTCCATTTATCAGACTAAATAGTAATTTATCTAATAACTTCAAATAAATGTGTTCTTTTGATTAATTCACTAATAACATTAAAATGAGTAAATGCTATTGAAAAGGTATACTTCGTTAAATCAAATTCGTAAATGGTAAATTACTTCGGCATTTGCAATTTACACAGTACGAGGTGAGATTTCATAACGGTTTCCTTTGAAGATCGGAATTATTCAGATCATAATGTTGTCTCCTTGATACTATAAACGGCGGTCAGGGAATCAAGCATAAAAGTATGTTTCATGCATGCTTGATTGGCATGGATGGTTTAAACTGATTGGGCTCTGTGAACTGAAAAAAACCGAGTACACTGTTGATCAACTCGTCACCAAATGAATGAAACGGCCGTCCAATGTTAGAAAACCTTGATCTGGCTAGCAAACACTAGTGGTTGATATCTGTGGCGCCAAACTACTCATGTAGGCCAGTGAGTAGTACATAAAGTGTGTTTCGGTTTACCAGTATTTTTTGGTTTGTTTTACTTATAATGATTTAATTTGATAATTTATGGCGAAGTTACTTACTTAACAGTAGTTCTCGTCACGAAAGGGAATAATATAAATAACCACTACTGAAGCAATAAGAAGCAATGGACAACGTTCATTTTGAAAAATGCAGATTGCTGTATTCCAAGTAAACAAGTACATGAGGTAATAAGCTTCCTTTTGAAATAATATACAAGTAACAGCTGATTCTTAGGGTTGAAACCCACCTTGGAATTAGTAAAACTCA